CCAAATGTAAATCACATGTTACAGCAGTCATAATTGTGAAAAATGGTTATAAGTAACTTTTTTCAGTGCTTTTTTTGTAACTTTGAATGGTCACTAAACAAACTGTTATAAATAGAGGACTACCTTTAAGCCCACAGAGGGAGACCTGCTTTCCCAAATAAGGATTGTAATGATATTTTCATTCATTGAAAATCAGGCCTGTCAGACGCTATATTTTTTCTATCTTGCTCTATGGAGTAGAGAGTTGGTCTCTGACAGAAGGCCACCTGAAGAGACTAGAACCATTTGAAATGTGGATTTACAGGCGGCTGTTGCGTATAAGCTGGGTTGACAAAATCAGAAATGAGGAGGGGATAAGCCGCCTGGGAAAGCCAAGTGAAATCATCAAAACAATTAAAAAATGAAAATTAGAATATTTCGGTCATGTGATGCGACACCCAGAAAAATACGGCATACTCCATTTAATCCTCCAGGGAAAGATTGAAGGCAAACGAGGTCCAGGCAGAAGAAGAACATCGTGGCTTCAAAATCTAAGGGACTGGTTTGGACAAAACTCAGCAGTACTTTTTCGTGCGGCTGTTGATAAACATGTCCGATAACGGATATGGCACAAGAAGAAGAATGATATTTTCATCTGGGAATAAAATTAAAAAGAGGAATAGGAAGCCTCCCTTTGAAAAAAAAATGGCAGGAAGGGAGAATTCTACTCAGTTATAAGATTCCACTGAAGCCTATTAATTTAAGGAAGGTACTTTAAATGCATCGGCATTTGTAAAGGATATTGAATTGCCTTTGGAGGGATACAATAAGCAGTTAAGAGCTGCAATAGAAGGAAACAGATTGTGCTGTAATTAAACCGAGCTTGGCTCACCCAAATGACAGAGCTTTGTTGCAGAGCTCAAATTTAACAACAAAGCCACCCAAAGCTCAACCACCCACCAAAGAGTTTTACGCTAGGCACTTCCTTGCAAGTCCATAATCACAGCACTACGAGAGCAATAAAGTCTGGGCTTTTTCAGTACTCTTTGCTATAGGCCAGTGATGGCGAACCTTTTAGAGACTGAGTGCCCAAAAACTGGCCCTGCCCCTGCTCCACCCCCTGCCCTGCCCACACTCTGCCCCCCCATCCACCATCCCGCCTGCCCACAGGACCACTCACCGCCTCCAGGGCCTGCAGCAGATCGCCCAGGCAGCCCAGCAGCACTACGGCGGCCACACCCTTTGCCCGCACCCTGCAGCATCAACTGCATGATGGGGTGTGAGGGCAGAGTCTTGTCTATGCTGCCTGGCTGCCATGTCCTTGGCTGCGCTGCTCCGTGTGGGCCTCGACTCTCCTTCAGGGGGGCTGCTGGAGAGGAGGAGGTCACGGAGGGGAGGCAAGGCTGGGGCAACGACACGTGTTCCCACAGAGGGGGCTCCGAGTGCCGCCTCTGGCACCCATGCCATAGGTTCGCCACCACTGCTATAGGCATATATTGTCAGAGAAGCCAAAATGAGGAAGTTAAAAAAAAGAATGCCTCTTTGCACCAATATCCACCCTGAATTTTTTGTAGTTGCTACAGCCGTGCTTGAAATTCCATAAGAATAGCTGTCAGCTGCCACCTTATGCTTGGGAGGGGGGGAAATGTAATGGAGAAGGCTTGGGAGAAAACGAAAGTAAGATCTGTATCTCCTCGAGATGCTGCTTCAAGGTCACCCAGCATACCAGCTGCATACCAAACTGTGCTTGGACTCTCTGTTATGAAAACATCTTGCCTGAACCTCATTGGTTGCTCGGGGTGGGTGGGTAATGGGAGGTAGCTAATGGGGGGGGAGTTGAACTTAGGGATTTTGAGGTGCAATTTTCAGTTCTGACTGCAATACGCTTGACTTCTAATAAAACTATATCTTTCTCAACAAATGGAGCCCAGGATCGGTTCTGTTTAGGAGTTTAAGCTGTGGCAGGTCTGAGAATAGCTTTGTTTGTATCTTTGTATCCTGCCTTTATTATTTTTACAAATAACTCAGGGCGGCAAATCTATCCAACACAGCTTTTGTCATGGTTCCGAAAAATGAAACTCTTCAAAGAACTTTGAGGCATTGTTTACCTTAAAGAATCTTTACTTGAGCAGCATAGCTTTGGCACATACATAGTTGAAGCCAAAATCTGACTTCCCCTCCCTTCAGCACATAGATCAAAGCACAATTCCCTCCATCAACTAACAGTCATAAATCACATTCTCCAATTAGTTTGAAATGCTGGCTTTCCGCCCAGTTTTTTCTCCCGCCATGCCTTATCAGCTCTTGTTACAATTTTGTGTGTCTAAGTTAACTCCCATCACATTCCTCCCCCTCCCCCAGTATCATCTAATTCTAAGAGTAAGGTATAAGAAAGAAAAAGACTGCATCTTGTCAAAGCAAGAACATCCAATGTTAGCAGCGTTGACAGCTTCCTCCTTCTATTTTCCCCACAACAACAGTCCTGTGAGGTGGGTTGGACTAAGACAGAGTGACTGACCCAAAGTCACCCAGTTGGCTTTTATGCCTATGGCAGGGCTAGAACTCACAATCTCCTGGTTTCTAGTCTGATGCCTTAAACACTAGATCTAACTGGCCATCAAAGATCTCATATATCTATTGGGAACTTAGAAAGATACCTGCAATGATTCTGTGACAACCACTATTGGTCTATTTAGCCTGTAGACTACCATTATAGTAATAAAGATTGCTGGTTTTTCATAACAGCACTCCTATAGTTTGATTATTTCCTTAAAAAAAGAGAAGCAGTTTATTTATTTGTTCTTCCTAGTACAATAAGAGGTAGATGCATTAACATAATTGCAAGATAATTCCAGGAAAAAAAGAAATATAAAAAAAAGAAAAAGAAAAAAATTACTACTCTGAAAATAAAAAGGTATTATACATGTATTTATTTTACATAAGAAATAAACCAGATTATAATTTATTCCTCATAAGGCAAATCATAAAATTCAACCAGGTTTGATCAGATTGTGGTTCCTGCTTTTGAAATCTCATTACTTTAACTTTGTGATTTATTTTTCTAATATGAAAAGTCTCCATTGAAGAGACTTTATTAGTCCACAACTCACTTCTTATATTATCTAAAGTGTTCACCTGTTGCTGGAATGGAATGGAATGGAATGGAAT